ATTCATCAGACACTAGAATGGCAATGTGTAAATCAATGGAAATGTAACTGATGTAACCGATGTGATTCAGCAATCTGTATACGGGGTAATAATGGAAGTTCATAACCCTTCTGAATCAAATTGTGAAACATGATATATTAAGAAAGATGTAATGTTTTGAACGACCAACAATAAAAAAAAAAAGAGGTGAAAGATTTATAACAATGAAAACTATAGAACCCTAAAGAGAGATATAGAAGAAGACCTTAGAAGATGGAAAGATCTACCTTGCTCATGGATAGGTGATTGTAAGAATTAATATTATTAAAATGACCATATTACCAAAAGCACTATACAGATTCAATGCAATTCAGATCAAAATCCCAATGGCATTCCTCAAAGAAATAGAAAAAGCAATTATGAAATTCATCTGGAAAAATAAGAGACCCAGAATATCTAAAGCAATTCTAAGCAGTAAGAGTGATACAGGTGGTATCGCTATACTAGATCTTAAACTATACTACAGAGCAATAGTAACAAAGACAGCATGGTACTGGCACCAAAACAGGCTGGTGGACCAATGGTACAGGATAGAGGACACAGAGACTAACCCACAAAACTACAACTACCTTATATTAGACAAAGGTGCTAAAAGTATGCATTGGAGAAAGGATAGAATCTTTAACAAATGGTGCTGGGAGAACACTGGAAATCCATATGCAACAAAATGAAACTGAATCCTTATCTCTCACCATGCACAAAAGTTAACTCAAAATGGATCAAGGATTTAGGGATTAAACCAGAGACTCTGCATCTAATAGAAGAAAAAGTAGGCCCTAATCTCCATCAGATGGGGTTAGGCCCCTATTTCCTTAATAAGACACCTATAACACAAATTAAAACCAAGAATCAACAAATGGGATGAATTCAAACTAAAAAGATTTTTCTCAGCAAGAGAAATAATGTGAGGTGAATAGGGAGCCTACATTCTGGGAACAAATTTTTACCTCTCACATATCAGATAGAGCTCTAATCTCTAGGGTATACAAAGAACTCAAAAAGCTATACACCAAAAAACCAAATGCAAAATGTCTTCTCTGATATAAGGGGGATGACTCAAAATGGGGAAGAGAGGAAGAGCATGGGAAGAAGATCACCTCTACATAGTGAAGAGGGGTGGGAGGGAAACAAAAGGAGAAAGGGAATTGCATGGATGGTGGAAGGAGACCCTCATTGTTATACAAAATACATGTATGAAGATGTGAGGAAAAAAAAAAGAATAGTGTTACCCTAGATTAGGTAGAGAGAAGTGATGGGAGGGGAGGGGAGGGGGTTGGGGATATAGGGAGGATAGTAGAATAAAACAGACATTATTATTACTGTTTATATGTGACTGCATGACCAATGAGATTCTGCAACGTGTATACTCAGAAAAATGAGAAATTATATCCCATCTGATTCAAATGTATGATATGTCAAGATCATTGTACTGTCTTGTGTAACATATAAAAAAATTATATGGGACTAAGGTCGTAAATACTAAAAGCACATCTATAAATAAAGAAGAAAAAGAAGCTCCAGTAGGGTAATTAATAAGAGAGAGTAACAGAAAATACAAAAAAGAAAAACATATGAACTGATATTAAAAATATCAATACCCAAATACATATAATTTTAACAAACTATCAGAATGCCACTTTGTACTCTGGCAAAAATGTGTTGAAGACAGAGGGATATGGAGGCCCCTGTGTAGGCCTGATGGAGGGACAACTGGCCTGGTCACTCTGGAGAGCAGCCTAATACTATCTGGTCAGTTCTAATCCCAGGTACACGCCAAAACATCTCCTATACCAGACTCTATGAGGACCTAAGGGGTGAGTAAGGGGTATGGAAATCCATGGATGAATGTGATGAATGCTAGTCATGGAGCAGTATTATCAATTGGTGGAACACACTAGAGCACAGAGAGAGCAAACAGAGGTATCCTAAAAACACTGAGTGAAAAGAGACATTAAGATGAGACATTTAATATAGTGCCATTTCTGCAAAATAAAAGTGCATAAAAACAGAACATTTTACAAAAAACCAAAAGCATAATATTAATAATGTGAGAATGGTTGATTATGTTAGGAGGTGGGAAGAGGGGGTGAGGAAGGGGATAAAAAGAACAAATAAATAAGACGAGGAGGATGGTGAATGGACCAGAGATGGAGGAGGAAGAATTCCTCAGCCTCCCCAAGAGGATGACATCACCGTATATGTGACCCAGCAGCTATGCCTTTGTATCTGAGCCTGCCCACAAGTAAACACAAAAACAAATAAAAGAACATTAAAACATGTATACTTTCTCACGTGTTAAAAGAGATTTTAAGTGAAGAAAAGATTCCTTGGAGAGAGAAAAACACTTCTCTATCTTAGTCCTAATAAGTAGATATATTCATTCACCAGCCCAACCTATACATATTTCATTTATTCCATGAACATTTCTGAGAACTCTATGGGCCAGACACCACATTAAGTGTTGGGGATATAGCAGTGAAAAGGAAGTGTCCCTACCTCCAAGGGATTCCAACTGACAACTGTAGTCTTGAGGATATCCAGAAGCTCTAAGAAGGCATGGAATAATGTTCCTATGATTCTTTCAGCACCACACTGTAACACCAAAAGACTTAAGGAGCCCTGCATGCGACAGAAAACCCCAAGCAAAGTTCATACCTGCAGTGCTTCTTTGGGAGCCTGTCAAGGGAGATGCTTCTGTTTCCACAGGGACACTTGAAAAACCTCTTGATGCCATCATGCCAGTGGTAGTCATGTTGCTTGCTGACACACGTCTCCAAAGGTTTGAAGTGGGTGTAGGCGCACTGCACAAACCAACAGACCACATGTCCATGAAGAGCTTTTAAGGAGAGACTGGGTAGCCAGCCTCTGTTCCAAGTACATGGTATCATCCCCTTACTGCCTAGATCAATGCTGGGGATGTCACCACTTTATCTTCTAGCTCTGTGGATCAAGTGATTTCTTGACACTCCCTCATATTGATTACTACTTTTTCTAATGTCTACTTGAACTTCTAGCCAGGCATGAAGTACCCATTAACTTCTGTGACATTAGAACAACAGTGATGGCCAAAGGAGCCCAGTGTTGTAAACTTCTCAACAGCTTAGAATGGTCTGTCTTAGACTCCTCCTTATAGGCTACTGATGATAGATGAGGCTTGGGACTTATTTAGAAAGGCTGATCCATAGCTCTTTCACTTTCTCCTACAAGGTCTATGAAAAATATATAAGCTTGTTATCACTCCAATTTTACAAGCAACAAAACCAAAACATAATTCATCTTTAGTTTTGATTCCTGAAAGGAGTGAAGAGAAGAAATGGTAGAAAGTTGAAATGGGTACACTCACTGTCTTACACGTCACTACTCGACACTTCACTTCTCTGATGCTTCTCATCTTTTCTTCCATTTGTTCTTTTTTCATCAGTGGCTCGAAATAGCATTCCTGAAGCTCAGCCTCCAACTGAATGACAAAACAGTCAAGAGTATTTGCACAAATTCCAACATATGCTCAGACAGTTGGATAATAATAACAATAATCTGTTGGGACAATAATCAAAACAGAACTGAAGAGACAGGCTAAATGTTAGGGAACCCTAAGTAGTACTTCAAGAACTTTAAACCAAAGATGAAGGTAAATAGAAATGAGCTCTTAAAATGTGTATCAGGGAGAACCAAAACCATGAAAACATTTGGTGATTTGTAAAACACCAAATGTAAATAAAAACAGCTAACATTATTAACACCATCATTAGGTCCAGTGTGCACCAGCAGACAGTTATTTCTACTGTTCTAATACAGACTCTATGTGGGGAACATGCTCAAGATCTCCAGTGATGACAGCCCCATTTACTAGGTACTGGTCCCAGATTGAGCACTTGGCAGAACTTCCTGGGTGCTGGGAATAAGAGAAAGGATGAGGGGAGGGAGGTGTTTAATATAGAATGTGGACACAGCTTGAATTGGCACAGCTGCATAAGGCAAAAGAGTTCAATATCTGAGGTCCCCATGAGGAAGGAGCTCATCTCTACGGCCTTTAGGAGTCGGCTCTGACATTTCAATTGCCTGAGTTTTAAGTCTAGTGGAAAGATGGTTTATAACCGTCTTGTTACTTGGTAATCAAGAGTGAAGATCATCTGGCATATCAGCATTAAGTGGAAACAACACTAGCCCCAAAGACATTTTGAGAATGTGTGTGGTGCTTTTTTGTTATTGTCATGATTGCTATCTCCACCATTGGCAGAGAAAAGGGATGCTATGCTGTCTGCAATGCACAGAACAGTCCCCTACAAAACAAAAGATTGTTCCTTATCCCATTTGGCTTCTGTGTATTAATGGGAGATCCATGTGCATGAGAAACCTAATTATAGGTTTTATATATAAATCCGTTTTATATATAACCCTAAGTTATTTGTGCATGGTTTTAACATACATTATATATTCCAAGAGCACATCTAGGTAACTTCTGTGTACACTGAGGGTTTTCCAGGATAATTCATTGTTAAAAAAAAAAAATAGGCCCATGGTACTTAACAAGAAAACATAGCTACTACATGAGTTCTCATTTCCAGCTGTGTCATGTACATTTTTAAATTCAAGCCTCTAACTACTTCATTATTTCTTTTAGGGTAAGCTATGCCCAAGCACTTCTAATGAAAAACATTATTTTCCTCTTTTTAAAAACTTTTATATTATTTAGGATACCATACTGATATCTTTGAAATTTTAAGTATAGGTAATACATATCATTCATGAATTTTATTTTATGATAAAGAGCAATAAAAAAGTACTTCTGATTAAAATGGTCTTTGGGAGTAATGATGTTAACTATTGATGTAGAGCATTTGAAATGTCAACATTAAAATATTTGAATGGAAATGATAACTTTCCATATTGCAAGGCAGAAAATATTAAGCAGTATCGGACCATTTACACATGATCTCATAACCATAATTACATGAAAACAATTTTATATACTGAAGTTTGTTTAAATAATAAACAAGTTGCTATTCTTCAGTATAAGGACAAGAGCAAAGCTAAAATTATTTGAAAATATTCCTGCCTTTCCAAGCAAACCCAAACAAACTGCCCTAGTTATTTCTTGACATATGTACAAGAAAGTTCTTTGTTGTACAACAAAGCACCTCAGGTTTGAAGGACATTGACATCTCTCTGATTTTGGGGGTTCTTACCTCTTTCTGGATGCCTGTGTGCTTTGATTTTGCTTTTAGAATTTTCTGGAATTCCTCAGATTCCAGGTAAGATCGTTGCTCTCTCCTTTTTTTCTTGGTAGGCTCCAATTCATCCTCAGCTAGAGCAGAAAGAAAAAATGTTAAATGTAACAGAGAAATCTGAGACAGCAAAGCATCCCTGTTCCCTGCCAATGGTACCTCAGATGTTTAGCTTCCTCTGACTCTCTTTCTATTGGGTCTTTCAACCTTGAGACCCATGAAGAAAGCTCAGAGAGTGAGCCAAGCAGTAGAATATAGGGGTGATGTGACCGCTGGGTCAGAATATCTCTTTCACTTTAACATAAGGATCTGATTATGATAACAGATAACAAGAAAAATCCTATTTATAAACCAATTAAAAAATGGCATTACTAACTACAGAGTTTTAAAAATGAACTGCAATTTAAAACAAAGGAATTCTATTTATTTCAAAGTAAATTTTCATGCTAATGCATTCTGCAAAGATTCATGAGGAACCTTTTTCCTGATGGTTCAAATTGTGTATTAATTTCATTCCAATTTAATGTGGTTATAAAAACACAATCAGTTTCAATCTTAAATCTTATGTGGGGGAAATGCAAGTGAAAAAATGACTTGGGTTGGGCATAGTGGTGCATGCCTATAATCCCAGTTGCTTAGAAGGCCAAGGTAGAAAGATCGCAAGTTCAAGTCAACTCAAAATATAAAGGGTTGGGGACACAGCTCAGTAATAGAGTGCTTGCTTCACATGTGTGAGTCCGTGGGGTCAATTCCCAACACCACCACCAAAAAAA